TGTCCTTCCTTGTCTCTTATGGTGGTTTTTGTCTTAAAGTCAATTTGATCAGAAATTAATATTGCCACTCCTGCTCAGTTGCCATTTGCTTGATATATCTTTTTCCAACCTTTGATTTTCAGTCTATTTGTGTCTTTATCTCTAAGGTGTGTCTCTTGTAGGCAGCATATTGATGAGTTTTTTTGTAACCAATTCTTATAAGCATATCTTAAAGCAGGGATCTGTACATTTTTTTCTTCAAAGGGCCAGAGAGTAAATATTTAATGCTTTCTGGGGCACATGGTCTCTGTTGCAACTACTCGACTCTGCTGTTGGAGCGCAAAGCAGCCATACACAACATGCAAATGAATGAGCATGGCTGTCATCCAAGAAAATTTTATTTATGGGCACTGAAATTTGAATTTCGTACAATTTTCACATGTCACAAAGAATTAGCCTTTTTCTGATTTTCTTTCCAATCATTTACAAATGTGAAAATGACTCTTAGATCATGGTCCAGGCAGCAGGACTGATTTGACCCATAGGCTGTAGTTTACTGACCACTGATTTAAAGAAAGGTCCTGTTGTTGTTGTTGTGTGCCGTCGAGTCAGACCTAACTCATAGCGACCCATCCTTGGGCTTCCGAGGCAGTATCACTACGCAGGTAGACTGCCCAACTTTCTTCTGAGGAGTGGCTGGTGGGTTTGAACTGCCAGCCTTCTGGTTAGCAGTCAAGTGCCTTAGGCACTATGCTATCAGAGCTCCACAAAGAAAGGTCCTAGGTAACACCAATGGTTTACACTCAACTACTAACCTAAAATGTGATAGTTTGAACTCACCTAGTAATACTGCAGAAGGAAGAGTTGGCAATCTGCTTTAATTAAGATTACAGCCATGAAAACCCTATGGAGCAGTTCTACTCTTAACACATGGAGTCACCATGAGTTGGGAATCAACTCAATGGCAGTAGGTTTGGTTTTTGGGTTTTGGCCTTAAAGAATGCCAAGGTTCAAAAAAATATTTTCATAATATTATACACTAATTTGATGTCTGTGGCCTTTTCCTGTCCTAAGGAACTAGACTTCTTCTATTGCATGAACATCACTAGAAACAGAACCCTACATAGGAATAGACCAAACAACTTACAAGATTACTTTTAATGAAAGACAAGGAGAGGTGCTCTTGGAAAAGCAAAAGAGGTCTGATGTGAGATACGTATCTCCCAACAGTTTGCTCCCAGTATATATTAAGGCAAAGTGAAAGGCCAGAATATAAGAATGAGAGGAGGAAAAGATATGGCGATGCTTCTACCATAAGAGAAGAATCTGTCAAGCTATCTAGACATGTGCTGAAGATAAAGGAGAAAAACATACACATATAGTTGAGATGTTCTTGATATGAGACAGTACGTAGCACCTACTTAATCAGAAAGTGTCTTTAAAGGTCCCACTATTCATGCCAGCCATGCTATGAGGTGTACCACTTTGTTCTTATTTGTTTTCAGCTGAAAATCAAATCCATAGTTTAAAATATCAGCAAACTCCAATTAACCCCCTACCTTGCATGTTCCTGAACCCCCACAATTTCTACTTCACTATCCGAAGAGGCGATATTAATTTCTTCATTGAGTGGTGCATTGCCAGCAGATGTTTTGTCACTTGCTAAGAATCCTGGATCCAAATGACCTGAGAGAGAAGGGGAGACAAAACAAACAGCACAGTTTGACTTTCTGGAACAGCAGAAACAACTCACTGACTTCCCATTCAGGTGCAGTCACAGACACAGAAGAGCCCCATGAGAAAGGACCTGCTGCAGAGAGACCGTTACCCAAGCCAATCATCAGGGGCAGTGTTCTGTCTGCTTCTTAAATGAATCACTTTTAAAGCATTAAATAGGATATATACTCAGAGTTGAAAGACTATTCGAGCAACATTAAAGTCTGTAAAAGTAAGAACTCAAAGTCTTTCACCTCTGCTCCCATTCCTTAGGGGGAAAAAACTGCCAGTATTTTGGTAAACATCTGTAAGTATATTCAAAACATAGTAATACTCTATTCTTTGTTCTATAACATTTTTTGCATTCAACTTCAATCTACTTTTAAATGACCCGCATAACAGGTTTATCACCATCTAGAAAGCAATGGGATTCTCTACTGTTTATCATTTTAACAGAACAAAATTTTCAACCAGAAAGCTCACAAGCACGTGGAATAATAACAGAACTAATCAATAATGCCATTATTTATACTCTGCTGCTTTGTGAAAGATTAACACTTGTCTATCTGTCAAAATCTGATCCTAAGCTACATCTAAAAGAAAGCCAGAGGCAGATCCCAAGTTTGGCTCTGTGCAAAACCGAAACCTAACGCACACATTACTGACAGTTCTCATGAGAGAAACCAACCACATACTCTGGAAAAGCATGACAGTTTGTGGCACTGATGCATGTAAGGACTTTTTCCAAGCAACTTCATAAAGTGTGTGTTATATGATGCAATAAAACACATTCTCCAGTATCACAGAAAAGGAGAGCTTCACAAAACTCTTTCCATAAAGACAAATGGCATAGCTCAAAGTACGCAGCTCTAAAAGCAATTCTAGCAAGTCAAAATAATCCAGCCTATGTACCCACCCTTGAATGGGTACATTTTAGAGCACCTAAATACCAGTTAACATGGGACAAACAGAGTTGCAATGGGGGCAAATTTCTGTTCACTCTTTAAAGAGTATTTTTATTTATATATATTGTCATTTGTTACAAAATGATTTTTCTGTATTCAAAAACAAACAAAAAAAATCCTTCATGACACCTCATACAAACTGAAGTAATGTAAAGAAAACAAAATTTTACACATAAAATTCTCCCCTTCCCCTTCCTGAGCCTCCTACCTCACTCACTACAAGGTAGTTCAAAAGGTCACTAAAAATCTTGTTATTTTTGTACTCCTGCAAACTTTTAATGTAAACCATTTAGAAAGCTATTGACAGCCCACTACAAAAGCCTTACACAATTTTCACATCCTCTGACCCTATAATCCCATCCCTGAGAATTTCACTTACAGGAAAAAACTTTAAGCATGCAACATGTTATAGGTAACCAAAGATATTCACTACAGTGCTATGCAGAAACTTGGAAGAATGTATGTACAATATACAAAGTGTCACATGTAACACTACAAAACTATGTAAGTGCTGGGTAAAAGCTGCAAAAAGTAATCAAGTTAGAATGATAGTGGGTTTTTTGCACAATTCTTTAATATTGTTTTTATGCTTTTCTTTCCCTTGAAAATGATATACATGAGAAAACCGAAAACTGAAAAAGCTTAAAATGACTTCTATATACAAATGGTAGTTGAGATTACATTACAGTCCACACTGGCTTGTTAACCTCTGTACTAAGGAATTGCATACATAACATTACATGAGTGTTGAGAGTGGGTACAGATGTTTGAACCCTACAATCACACAAAACGTGGCATTCAGACAAAACCCATTTTGTTAACCCTAGGGTGGTTGCTTACATGGAATTTGGTTAAATCTAAATTTGGTAAATCCAAATTCTTACTCTGATCCTGCCCACGACTTTTATTCTCATTCCACTTCAATGTCCTGGTTATGCCTATCCTCATGCACACTGTTCCTACTGCACTGCTAGGAAGGAATGCAAATTGACCGTCTTTCTTTTTTCAAACTATATCCCTTCAACTCCTCTGTATTCACTGGTTCAAGCATCTTGCTTTCTATAGCTGTAACAATTTTGCTCCATTTGTTGGCTCATATAAGAGATACTTGTTTATGACACGCCATACACTGTGTTAGATGCTAGGAATACCAAGCGGAACAAGGCAGACAGACACAGTCTCTGCCCTCAGTGTGCTGACAACAGTCAGGATCCTGCAAAGCAGTCAAAATGCACTGTGGCTTGGAAAGTGTTCTGACAGAGTGAAAAATGGAATAAGAGTGTCCTTTCTGGCACATTCCCCAGACATGGGGTGATCACGGAAGCTGGGCTCTCTGGGAAGGGGGGGTACGGGTGAGAAGGAGCAGCGTAAGGGACATTTGGTTTCCTTTCATGGTATAAAAGTTCAGTGAGATTAGGGGAATGATAATAAAAAGAGTTAAGAGAAACAAAGCTGGCAAAGCCGGCAGAGATCAGGTTATAGTAAGGAGTCTGGAAGTGACCTTGAAAACTGGAAATCATTGAAGGATTTAAGCAGAGGAGTGATATGATCTGGTCTTTCATTTTAGAAAATTTTATTTTGGAGTATAGAATTTATAGCAGGATAGGGAATACTGAAGGCACGGAAACTAGTATGACTGTTGCAGTTTCTTGGGTGAGAAATGACTGGTTGAGCTAGTAAAGAGACAAAATAGGGAATACTCTGTGTGTGTGTATTATTTTTGAGAGAGACAGAGATGGAAAGAGAGAGAGAGAATGTAGAGTCAGTAATGTTGGGGATCGGGCAAATCAAAGAATACATGTAATCAAAAGTGACACCCAAGTTTCTGACTTAGGTAAATGAATGAGTTATGCCATTCAGTGTGCTAATGAACAAAAGAGAAGGAAGAGGCTGACGGTCGTTCCGCAGGACATGATGGCAATGTGCCCTGAGATGCCCAACAGTCAGTTTTGTTCTAAAGCCAGGAGAGATGTCTAGAGTAGAATAGATTTGCTAAGTCCTCAGCAATAGGTGGGAAGATAAAGAGAGTGCGGAAGAGTGAAGGGGCCTGGAACAGAACCCTGATGAACACCAAAGAAGGGAAAGGCAGTGAAGCCCGTAAAGAAAAATGAGAGGCAGAAAGAAAATCAGGAGAGATGGATACCACAGAAGAGCATTTTGAGAGAAGTGCTTAATAATGCCCAGAGATGAAGTCACATAAGAAGGACTAAGAATCACCCACTAGAATCAGTGATAAGATGAGCACAGATGATCTTGGCATAGGGAGTGATAGCACTAAACCCAATGTTGCAAGGTGAAGAATAATGGAAGGTACAACAGAGAGGAGACAAATTTCAAGCAGTATGTAGGAAAGGACATAAACTGGTACGGAGAGGAGACGGGTTTAAGGGAAGGAGATGTACATGCATGTATGCATGTATAGCGTCTAAAAAGGGGACAGATATGGCCACATTTAAACATTGAGGGTAGAAAAACAGCGGAGAACAGCCATAGGTTTGATGGCAAAGTGCTGAGGTAATCTTGATCTGTCAAGAATGTGGCAAGGTCATCTGCAGAGCACAGGTGTGAGAAGGGTAGGAGGGCTGGGATTTAGAAAAGTGAAGTAGTCACGGTGAAGAACAGTGCTGCCTAAGGGAGGAACTGCTGGACAACACTGAGAGCCAGGAAGAGATGCCGATTACAAAATTAATGTGATCCTTAACTCTGAGACTCTGTGATTTTCCCCAGCTATGCTGCAGTGTAGTAAATTACTTAGTAAGGCTTTTCTACCCATAAGTCATTATAAACTCAGTGGTGGAATGAGCAACTGAGGAGCTCCTGATCGTAAATGTTATCCACGTGGGTTGTTTCTGTTGGGCGTGGCACAACACAATGTTATGGGAGGCTCACTCTCAGGTGCTTAGAATTCTGTTGTTATGATTGGTTGGTTTGGCCACTCTGCCAAGCTCAAAAGGAAGCCTCCTATAGAGGCAGAACTCTCTCTGACTGCTGGTTGAGGAAGATGTTCTGCTGAAAGATACACATGCTCCTGAAAGAGACACGTGCTGCTGGGAAAGAGACGCAAGAGACACGCATTGCTGAATGAGACACCGAGGGACATGCACTGCTGGGGGAAAGACTGTGAGAGACTTGGCTGAGAGACGGTGGGCTGGGAGAGAGACTGAGCGTTTTTCCTGAACTTGAATTGTAGCCTGGTGCTTCCCTAATAAACCCTATAGTCTGTGAGTTCTGTGTGGCCATTGCAGTGAATTTTCGAACCCAGGAGAGAGGTGGTGGGTGCTTTGGGAGGAACGGTTGGTGAAAGGGCTGGAGGGAGGCAGCATGTCTGGCCTGGCAGGAATAGGCCTTGGGCTATTGATGGTGATTCTGCCTTTCCTCTTGTGGGGTTAGAGGAGGTCAGAACATGTGGCCTCCTTGCCCTTTTTGCAGTTATGCTTAGCAGGTGGATCCAGGCTCAAAGGATGCATTCAGGGGCCAGACTGCCAGATGAGTACAACAGAAGCCCAACCAGACAAGAGAGATGAAGACATTGGCAAGGGAGAGTTGGACCTCTTTATGTTAGCTAGCGAAGGAAGGGAAGCTGGAAGGACTGGGTGCTATGTTGCAATGAGGCAGAAGAATAAGTGTGGCAGAAATAACACACTGAGAGTGCAGAGAAGCCCACAACAGAAAAGGAGAGCAACAGGAGGAGAAGGAAAACCAATGGTGTGAAAGGAATTACAGGAAGAGAAAACCTAAAAGACATACAGACCATCCAAAAGTGTAAAAAGTCATGGAAATGTAAGTAAGATGAAAAATACGACATTATATTTCCACTCTCTTGACCATTCACAAAAATACAAGCCTTTGGAGTTATCCATTTTCTCCCGTCTCATGCCCTCCTCTGTTGATTATTCTCCTTTGCTGCAGCCTGCCACGTCACCATCCTACAACTTTTCCACTGCCTTCTGGAATAACAGTTCCATGGAAAACCTGCACCGAACTTCCTCTCATAGTCCTTGTGGA